CTGCATTCCTCAGCACTGAAGGATTCAGCAAGTGGTCCCATCCTAGGCTCAAGTGGAAAGTGGTGGGGCCCGTGGGAGGCGGGGCCTTGCGGGAAGAAGTGAGGTCGTGTGCCCTTGAAGGGACTGCTGTACCCCAGCTCCTTTCCTTTTTTTCTTGGGCTTCCATGAGATGTGCAGTTTCTTCTGCCACCCTGCTGCCATGAGGTGTCGCCTCACCATATGCCAAAAAATCAAGGGTCAATCTATTATGGACTGAGACTCCAGAACTGTGAGTCAAAGAAAAACTTCCCATCTTATATGGTATCTGAAGTGCTCAGTCAGTGATAAAAGGCTGACACTGGGGAACTGTGGAGCCCCACACAACGGGGTGACCACTGGGCACCAGTTTTATCCATGATGGTGCTTGCTTGGACAATAGAGCAGAGACTTCAAAGTTTTGAGCAAAAATGATTTTGACACCAGAATTCTATTCTAACACAAACTAGCCATCAAATAATAACCAAAAGTGGTGGTACCCTCAGGCATTCTGCTTTCTTGAAAACACACCCTAGCAAAATGAGTGTAAAGTCCAACAAAGGAAGACAGGTGGCCCAGGATAGTGTGCACTTAGATGTGCGCAGTGAGAGCAAGCCCAGTGCCTGGGACGGATTCAGGCCCCATTAGATCAGGCAACCAATGAGCTCTAAGCAGAACAGCTTCAGAACAGAGGCAAAATCCAAGCAATGCAAAGAAAGCACCGAAGGGAAAAACACATATTTTCTCAACAGGAGAAAAGCAGCCAGACTTCAAGCAACACGGGAGGGCAAGGCACACAATGAAGTGAGCCAAACGGTGGCATGAGTCTCGCCATCAATGGAAAGGTCCACCTGGCTGGACACTAGGACTGCCATCCTTGAGCGGTGGTCCTGGGACTGTCGAAGGAAATCCAAGTGCCATCCAGTGTTTGGCTCAGCAACGAGTCCTGTGTACAAGACGGAGAACATCAAATCATGGTGGATTGGCATCCAACTTTTAGAATGAACCTATAGAGAAAGCACAAAGGTCTGAACTGTTGTCCCGGATGGAACATGTGCCTTATTCCCTTTGGTATCACAAAAGCAAAAGTTAACAGGGAAGACAAGAACTGTCCACAGCTAGAAAAAGACAAGAGACGAAGTCAGGAGTGGAGAACCAAGACGTCCTGTGGGAGTTAATCAAATGATAAAGAGAGGCCTGCATAGTTTCAAATGGCATAGCAGTCACACAAAGGAGTTAGAGCGGTGTCAACCACAGGGATGGAGCATGCAGGGCTGAGGGAGCGAAAGCCTCACCCAGTTGGTCAAGTTGCCACTGGATGTCAGAAGCTGCAAATCAGAACTTAATAGCTAAGAACACTGTGCAGAAATGCAAGGGTTCCCAAGGAACGATCTGAGAGTAGGAACGACTCAGTGTGACTTTCTAAGAACAGGGACGGAACAGGGAGGAGCGAGACTCAATCCCTCTGTTACAAGCACTTCTGCTGTGGTGCTAGAATTTGAACCCAAGGTGTCAGGCATGCTAGGCCAAGTTCTCTGCCACTGAACTATGTTTTGAGACAGTGCTTGTCTTCCCTGTTAAGTTTTGCTTTCATGATACCAAGGGGAATAACACATGTATTCCATCCAGGACAATTCAGACCTTTGTGCTTCCTCTATAGGTCCATTCTAAAAGTTGGATGCCAATCCACCATGATTTGATGTTCTTAGTCTTGTAAACAGGACACACTGCTGAGCCTACATGCACTTCTAGACCATCAGAATTTTAGAGCACATGCAATTATAATTTTGACTACATTTAAAAATAAAAATATCAACCAAGTTTACTAATATTAGCCTATTAATACATTCATTGAATACTCATGTGCTGTTATCCTTCTGTAGTGCTTTACTAAAATACCATTTCTAGAATTAGAGGTGAATTTTATAGCTTCATTACTGTCATTTCATTTATATTCCCTAATTCATCTAATCTAATCCATACACTGCACATATACACATGATTTTTATGTCCGTGAAGCCAGGCTGGATGCATAGGGTGGGCAGGCTGGCAGTGGTATGTGACTTCAGCCAATGGTGTCCTCAGAGCTGCTGCACCAGGCATGTGCAGGACATTGTCTGAAAGGTGTTTTATCCCATGCTGCTTCATGCAATCACAGTTTGATTTTCTTCCAGTCTTCTGCTCCTCCCTCACAACAGTCCAGCCACATTTTGGTCTTAGTGTTTCCCAAACACCTCAGGACCCTTGGAACAGCTGGCGTTCCCTGTTCCTCCAGTCATCTGCTCACTCGATCACGAGGCCTGAGGACCACCCAGTCTGAGTCAGCTGTGCCCCTAGAAACAGTTCCCATCACATCACTCAGTCTCTTTTTTGAAGCCCGTACAGTGAGACTTTCATTTGGTCCTTTCCTCACTGAAGCTCAGGCTTTCTCATCTGTTGCCCACCACATCCCTGGACCAACGACCAACCGTGCACCAAGTGCACCATTTCTTTTTTTTTCTTTTTTTTTTCATATTAGTGGCATGTTACAGTTTTATTTTTAAATTTATTTATTTTGTGTGTGTGTGTGTGGCCAGTTCAGTCCACCGGGGGGCGGGGCTGGCTGGCATGTGGTGTTGGGGGATTGAACCGCGGTCCCTGTGCTTTGCTAAGCTTGTTCTAAGTAGGTGCTTTAGACCACTGAGCCATCTCACCAGCCCCAAGTGCACCATTTCTAAAATGAAATTTTCTAAAAAAAAAAAAAAAGTAATTCTAAGCTATTGCATAATATCAAATCACCTAGCAAATGTTTCAAATTTGTAAACAGCATTACTTCTTTATTTTTCTTGGCAAAGAATCATGTATGTGTAAGTCTGTTAGAAAGAGCAATCCAGTTACGTATTTTAGGAATATACTAACATACACCAAGTATAATTTCTGTAGCATGAAATAATCCATAGCACTTCCTTTTTTTTGGTGGGATCGGGGATTGAACTCAGGTCCTTACACTTGCCAGAGAAGCACCTATTCTACTGAGCCATTTCCCTGGCCCTTATAGCACTCCCATTTAATTCATACCATTCATTTGTACATAATCTAAACCTACCCATTCCTGACCAGAACTAACATCAAACAGGTGGCAAATTAGAATGAAAACAAAAATGTCATGTCAGAAATTCAAAAACGCAATTAGCTTCAACTTAATTTTTTAATTTTTATCTTATTATCATTTTTGGTTTTGTAAGACAGGACCTTGCTATGTAGTTCAGGCTGGTCCTGAACTCACTATGTAGTCCAGGTTGACCCTGAATTCCCAGCTATCCTCCTGCCTCAGCTTCCCAAGTGCTAGAATTACAGGTGTGTACCTCCACACCTGGTCCAACTTTTAAAATTTTAATAATAGTAATCTCTCCTAAATTAAGATTATAACTTAGAATGGGGAGGGACAATGGGGGTTGAGCCCAAGGCCTTATATTAGGTAACTACTCTGAACACTGAGCTATATTCCCAGATCTTTTATTTTGAAACTGGCTAGGTTGCCCAGGCTAGCCTTGAACTTGCAATCCTACCTATCTAGTCTTCCCAGTAGCTAGGATTAAAGGTATGTAATACCACACCCAGCTTATATTTATAACTTCATTTCCTAATTCAAAAGATTAATTGAAATACAGCTTGTCTGGTTTTGCAGTCTATCTGATAAGCACAACAATGAATGACTGTCAGTCTTTTATCACTTATATTTCATGTATATGATAAGGGCATAAAAGAAAAAGGCTAAGATTCACAAAAGTGTGTTTGGCTTTTTTTTATTCAAAAAGATGATTCTCTGGGAGGTGATGTCAGCTGGCTTCCAGGAGTCACACCACCATCTCCACAGCCCCCACAATGACCCTGAATTCCACAGGCTCCTGCCCGCCCCCAACTCACTTTTGGCACCTATGCATGAAGCGCTCACCTCTTCATGATGAACAGTGGGGGGAGACCCTTTCCCGATGGGGGTGCTTCTGATTGCGGAGTCTAGAATACTGATACAGTAAGAAGGACGAGCGTTCTCTCCTGGTTACAGATCCTTTTCTACCTAACTACCTGGCTGTCTTGGAAAAGAAACAGCAGCCAGTTCTCAGAGGTCTTGGGGTGACGGCTTATCTTCCTGTACTTCTTCTCACTGTAAATTTAGAATCACTGAGCAATTCTGAGAGGTAGCAGGTTGGGCACGGGCTCTGGCTTCTTGATTTTCAGATACAATTTTAAGTCATCATGTTTTTCAGAAAATTTTTCTGACAATGAACAAAACAGAGCAGGGCAGGGCTGTGGCTATGGAGGAGGAGATGGGGCCACACAGCATGGCCAGCAGGTAGGACAGTCCTCGTCACAGCACCTGAGAAGGCTCGGAGTACGACAGTGCACATCGGCACAGTGCACGCTGCTCAAGCTTCTGTCCGCCACCCCAACATGAGCTCCCGCACAACAATCGGGGTGCGGGCTGAGGAGGAAAAGGGCCAATGCAGGCCGTGGCTGGCCAGCATCTAAACGTGAAGAGAACAACTTAGAACCTTCCTATCTCATGTATGAGGAAGATATAAGACCCTGGTGCTGATCTGGTTGGCCTAATTCAAGTGCGTTTTCCTAGCTATGGTTCGGGTTCACAGGGGACTGGCAAGAAACTTACCTAGAAACTTTCAGGACTTGCCAAGTGTCACTAGAGCTTGTTGCATTTTTCTGAATACTATTGTTAAATTGATAAGAGTTAGAGAGTCACTGTAGCCTCCTCTTCCAAAACTTATTAAAAAGACAATTTTATTTCAGAAGATGGCAAAGTTATAAAACTAGGGGAAAATATGACATTATTACAATAATTTTTTTTAAAAAAAATCTATACTTGACTGTGTCCTACCTACTGTACTATCTACCTAAACTGCCTGGAGGGAAGGAAAGAGGGAGGCAGGGAGGGCGCAGACTCTGAGGCTCCAGCAGAGCAGCCAGCTCCCCACGGGGACGGGGACGGGGCGCAGCTCTCCTGCCAGCCACAGGTTCCCAAGCATTCCCATTTACAGAAGTACAGATGAACAGGTCGGGGAGAGCAGGGAGTACAAGAGCAGCCGACCGACCACAGCCTTCAGCGAGTTGGCCCAGCCCCACGTCCTCGGAGCAGGGGCTCCAGCCACCAGCTCGGTCTTCACAGCAAGCAGCATCTTTCTTTAAAGCTTTTCTTATTCTTGCTGCTTTTCTTGCCATTCTTGTCTTTGTTTTCTGACATCTTCTTTGCTCTGATTTCTCTCATTAAATCAAAGAACACCTGGAGCAGGGAGGAAGGTTGGAAAGAAAAGAAACAACCCACTTAGTGAACCACCTGAGCAGGGTAGACGGGTGCATGTTATAGCAGAGAATAGCGAACTTTTATAAACCACTCACAACAAAGGGTCTAGAGCAAATATAAATAATCTCAAAAACGCTTTTGGGATGGAAACCAGAACCTCACCCATGCTGAGTGCTCCAGCCCCGAGCAGCATCCCCAGCCCCAAAACACCCTGAGTCTACAATGTAAGCTTCTCTGCTCACGCCACACAATGGCAACCATGAACTGGGCCACCGTTATTCCCAATCTACTGCTGTTCTCCAAATGACAAGATCTTTTAAGTATAATGAAGAGTAAAAACTGTTTTAGGTCAAGAACAGATCTAAAACTATGACATTTGCAAATACTGACAGTGGCAGTGGGAATCAGACTTTCTAGTAGCTCTAACCACCAGAAAAAAAAAAAAAAAAAAGATTCTAGTACAACCACATCCCATTTAATCCTGGGGGGAGGGGCTCCTGCAGAGGCTGAAACAGCATCCTGACACTTTCCTGGGGAGACTCCATAACAGCACCTGCACTATGGGGCCAGGGACAAACACTCCCTCCCACTCCCCCGTCTCCCCACCCCACCGCACCGCACCCCCACATACAGCCAGAGCCTGGCTTTCAGTCCCCACCACATTAGCTGACCTGAGCTTTATCGGGAACTGATGAGAACTGGCCTCCAGATGTCACAGTGTTATCCATTATCATTTGTCACCACAGTCTGGGTCTTGCCCTCGGCTATGAGCAGCTATGCTAGAGGCCTGATTACAGCCAAGCAGACAAAATATGCCTCCTACAGAAAGAGGCTGAGATTTCTCAGAGAATGAAGGAGACAGAAGTGCGGCAGAGCAGAACAGCCGTGCGATAACACCAGCTCCTATCTTTTATTTTCAGACTTTCTTCTTGGGGAAGGGCAAGGTCGTTTCTGTGGTGTGTGGGACTCTGCCTACATTAGCCATGAGCCATAGGCACAGAGCAGGGACCCTTAAGCTGGCTTAGGGTGGCCTACAGACCCCTGTGCCAACCACTCAGGAAAGGACATGGCCACAGGAGCAACAGGGAGCAGCTCTCAGTGCTATAAGTTTTTCTTTCCACCCTAAAATGTAAGCAGGAGGACAGGAGGGGTGCATCCAGCTTAGAATGACAAAGCTGTTCACCGACTGATCTTATCAGCAGCCTTTTTTGTAAACTGTTTACCAGTGAGCACAATGCTGCCAGTCATAAGTTTCTGCTGGTTCCTGCTAGGCAGGTCAGGCTGGTCCAGCAAAGCAGGGGACAGCTCCTCACCCTGCCATCCTGGCCATCACAAATACACAGCAGCGGTCCCATGCTGAGAAAGTCTGATTTTGAAAAAGTGGAACATATCTGGATTTCCTGTGTGTTTCCCATAGCCAGGAAATAATTTGATAGAGATTTTTTTTTTTGGTGGGGGGCGGTACTGGGGATCCAACTCAGGACCTGGCCTTTGCCAGGCAGGCACTTAAGTCCCTGAGCTACCTCCCCAGCTCTATAAGGAGATTTTGAATAGCATAAGAATCCACAGAAGAGTTGAGACAGCACTGACAAAAGGCAGCTGACAAGGCAGCACACGCTCGACCTGAGGCCAAAACAGACGTGTGCTGTTCCGGAAGGGAGGTGTGTCCAGCCAACCTCTGAACCCCACCGTCCCTTCAGCATCACTTCTGGCTATAGGAAAGCTTGATAAAAAAAAATCTCTCCCCATCAGGTACGAAACAAAAGGGAATTATTTCTTCTCAAACCAGAAACAGAAACAAGATGAGGGGGATTGGGATGCCGCCACCACCACAGAGCACAGAGCAGACGCAGCCCCTGCTTGGCTGCCGCACACTCCGCGCTGGACTTTATAGGTGTGTGACTGACAAAGTAAGAGCCAATACACAAAGCGAAGGAGGAGAGAAGCCTCACCTTTAAATTGCTTATTTTAGCTTTGTGGAAACCATCTTGAGCTTTAATTTAAAAGATAGAAAAAAAGAAAAGCTAACAACAGCGGGCACAGTCTCTTTTGTGGGCTTCAGCAAACTGAAGACATAGTCTCAGGATGGGACAAGTGAGGGAGCAGATCCCAGAGTCCCTTCCTGAAAGCATGTGCTAATGGGAGGTAGAAGAGTCAAGTCAGAACTCTAGCAATGCACAGTACAGTGAAGAGAATACATCCTCCAGCTTCTGCAAAATCCAGAAATGATCTGCTGCTTTTAAGGCCAGGTAAGCAGCAGGCTGACACAGCCAGCCCTGCCCAGGGCACCGCCAAGCTGTGAAGGGAGCTCCCTGACAAGCCTGGCCCCTTCCGCTGGCTCTCCTGCTACACCTCCCAAGCACCGTGCCAAAAATGGGCGCCCACCCACTACGCCTAACGGCAAAGGGAAGGAACCCAGGGGCTGCTTCAGACACAGCGTCAGACCCATCCCAGGCCTTTCTCGTAATGGCTAAGACTTCGGAAGGAGCCAGAGTCCTCCCCTACACCCCACACATGGTTCCTTCAAAACCAAACTAGCAAAGAAGCTCTGTTCTGCTACATCCCAAAGCCAGGCCATGACACACCCCGAGAGTGTGGCTACCTTGTCCACATTGGCCCGTGTCTTGGCCGATGTCTCCACGTACTGCACGCCCCACTCTTCCGCTTTGCTCCTGGCCTCCTCGACGGGTACCTGCCTCCGCTCCTCCAGGTCAGACTTGTTTCCCACGACGAGCAACGGAATTTTATCTTCTTCAGCCTTCACTCGGAGGATCTGTTCCCTGCAGGTGTCACACCGAAAATACAGACGCAAAGAAAGCCAGGATAAGAATTTGGTCTTGCCAACCCATCTCAAATAAATTTCCTAAGGCGGGAGAAAGCCCCTTCGGAGCAGTCCTAGGAAGCACCATCAGGGGCAGCCAGGAGGTGGGCCAAGGGTCCCAAGAGCACACTGTGCTCAGTCACCCAGGACACACTCTGTAAATATAGATTCTGGGCCCACAGTCCCAAGGACAGGCATCCAGGCGTTCGCATTCCAGAAGGGTCCCCAACTCATGGTAATACACTTAAGAGGGGAGGAACCTGTATCTGGGATTAAAAAACAAAAAGTTAGAAGTACCTCACAAATGCCTAAAAATCTCTCCTGAAAAAAAAAAAAAAAATCAGTGACTGTAAAAGTTCTATAATCTGGTTTTCCATATGAAAAGTAGCTAGATGACAGTGGATCTTGAAATCAGTTTAGGCAGTCACCACCAACAGGGCCTTTTTACTTATTTTTTTAATTCAGTGAAACATTATAAAATAGAGTGAAACAAGAACAACTGAAGAAATCTCAAGTAGTAAGTACTGGCGTGAAAGGTCGGTCTCTGGGCTAGACGAGTGTGAACGTAGCCACCCGTCAACCCCTTTAGGAGACCCGAGGACACAGCGGCTGTTCAGGTGTCTCCTATCAAATGGCATCACCAAGGCACCTAGCTGACTTACCCTTCTGTAAACTTCAAGTCATCTCCACAGTATTCTCAGAACTGATACAGGGTAAATGCCTCGCAAATGGTTATTAATATATATAATTTTATTTATTTATTTATTTAAAAACTGGGGATTGAACTTGGGCCCTTGCGTTTGCCAGGGAACCACTTATTCCACTGAGTCATCTCCCTGACCCCTATTTTTTTTTTAACTTAATTACATTTTTTAGGGAAGAACTAAAAGGAAATTTGTCCGTTCAATTCCGATACAACCATCACAGGCCCAACTACAGTTGAGATCTGTTATGGTTTGTGTATAGGTGTCCCTCAAAGCTTCAGGCAGTCATGGGGAGCTTTCTGGAGCTTGTGAGTGATTACTGTGGGGGTGGATGCTGCCCCCGCCCTGGGGCAGGTAATTTGCTTTACAATGTGAGGAAGGGAGAGAGGCTAGCTAGCTGCCTGGGCTGCTGTCACTCCCTTTGCTCTCTGCAGAGGATGTTCTGAAACGTCCAGTACCTGCGAGCTAAATAAGCCTTTCCTTTTTTCATTCTGAGTGTTGGGTATTTGTCCCAGCAATGAAAGAAGAGTAACTGAGATAGAATCCAAGGCCGTGGAAGCTGTAGACCCACAAGGCAGCCGTGTCCAGCCCACAGTATGAGACACAAGCTTAGCATTCAGAGCACACTCAGACACGGCAAATGGCAAGTGCTCCGGCCGGCAGAACGGTCGGCTCCATCGCGCAGTTCCTGGTCCAGCGCACAACTGTCTTTCCCTGTTGAGGTGAAAAAAGTGAAGGAAATATCGCACACCCTCTGGAATAATGCTTCACAAATGTTGTATCTTTAAAAAAATCTGTAACATACTAAAGCTTATCTCTAATAAAAACAATCAGCTACCTGAAGTATTAATCAAAATCAAATAAGAAATTAAAATATTCCACTTCCATTACTCTGATGCAGTGGGGACATTCCTTTGCTTTGCAAAGTCTAAAAACTGCACAGACATCTCACGAGCTCCACTAGTCCTACCCAGCACACACATTAAGTTCTCTGTGGCCCCCAGCGTATGACAGAGCTGCTTATAGGTCCTCAATAGGTACCTGTCCTCCCGTTCACTTATTTTAAAATATTTTCTATCTGTACTTAACTTATGGAAGCACTTCTGAATATTTGTATTATGGTTACCCTATCTCATAAATATCAATGCAAACAGGAAACACCTTTTTAGAACACCAAAGTAGAACCATCCCCACTGCACATTCAACTCTCAGCCACACGGAACACACAGGCCCTGCCTTCGACCTTGCGCTCTCTCCTCTGGATTCTCTGAATTCAGCCCTGGAAACCTCCCTTGCTCAAAGAAGTCTCCTTCCAAACCATGGGGGGCTATGTAGCCTCCTCATTTCATTTCACCTTTGGCTGATCATCTTACTTTCTGACCAAACTTGCTAATGAATGAAAAAAAATGACTGGTATTGATTTAGGTGTTTTCCTCATTAGTGCCCTGTTAGATTCTAGCTCTGGGTCTGAAAATATCAGTGGGATAGATATGGTTAGCTCGCTTGTGTTTCACAAGTCTCCAGAGGCCCACGTGCTCAAAGCTAGGTTCCCAGCTCTAGCACTACTGAAAGTAGCGAAACCTTTAGGAGAGAGATGCAGGGGAAGGAAATGAGGGCCTGGGGGCGGGGCCTCGAAGGTGACCCTGGAGCTGAGCCCTTTTCTCTCCTGCTCCTTTCTGTCTTACTCTTTCCCCCTCTCTGTCTACAATCCTCTCTCTGCTTCCTGGATGCATGGTGGTGAAAAGATTTCCTCTGCTACACATTCACACCACAACGTGCTGCCTCACCACATGCCCAAAAGCCTCTGTAGCTCTGAATCAAAATACACTTTCTGCCTTTGAAACTATTTATCTCAGGAATTTTATCATAGCAACAGAAAGTTGACTAGATATGTTTATAAGAAAGGTAGGGCCAGGGAGATGGATCAGTGGAATAAGCACTTCCCTGGCAAGCACAAGGGCCTGAGTTCAATCCCTGGTTCTGCCAAAAAAAAAAAAAAAAAAGGTAGATAAGGGCTGGGGAGATAGCTTGGCGGTCTAAGCACCTGCCTGGCAAATGCAAGAACCTGGGTTCAAGCTCTGGTACTGCATGCCATGCCAATCCCAGAACACTGGGTATGCAGTGCACGCCACCAAAACTGGGTATGGTGGCCCACACCTGTAACCCTCAGTGCTGGGGATGCTGAGACAGGAGGTTCACTACAAGTCCGAGCTGCAGAGCAAGACCCTGTATCAAATAAATAAATAAATAAATAAATATTTTTTTTAAATTAAAAGGTAGATGAAAAAATTAGTGAGGAAAAGGTGGACGAAAACAACTGTATAATAGAAATGGAAAGGTGTGGTAAAGTCACAGAAGACAGAAATTATACCCAAAGGCTATTTCTATATTTTTTTCTTTTGGTGGAACCAGGGACTGAACTCAGGCCCTTGCGCTTACCAGGAGAGCCCTTATTCTATTGAACTATCTCCCCGGCCCTTCCCAAAGGCTATTACTTTATTTAAAAAATAAAAAGGAAACTGAAAGCATCTTTAAGTGACATTTTAAAATGCGCAGTGAATAGCCCATCCACACGGGGGCGCTCGGGGCCACCGCACAGAGGAGGGCTGGCCAGGGAGACACCATGAAGGGCTTCCTGGGAGCTGCCCACATGCAGCTCACAGCAAATGCATCATCGGACCTCATTTCTCAACCTGCAAGTGCACATTCAGAGAAAGACACAGAATCCCCAGTGCTGAAGAGCCTGGACCATGGTGACATGCTGGCAAAGGCACCGAAACCAGGTTGTCGTCCTCCCAGGCCAGCTCCCTCCTGCCCACTGCGCCGAGGCCTTCTGCTTCACACTGCTCATTCTCTGCCAGCATCTCATCAACAAAGCAGATCAAAATTGTTTTTTGGTAAAATTTAAAGAAAAAATTACAGATAGTTAAGACTTGTCAATCACTGCCTCAGAATTTACATGAACAGAATTACAGGCTCTTGGGTGTAGGGAACAGCTGTGTCCTCTTTCAGAGATAGAATTCTTAAGATAATTTGCATCCCCAAATCTTCACACAGAGATGTCCAAAAAGATGAGGCACTATCATGTGCCAAGTTGCAGGAAGCCCTAGAAACCGCAGACAGAAGTCTTCCTAATAACAAGCTCAGCTTTCTACAGATTGCTTGCCATGTGGTGGGAAGGCAGTAGGGTCTTGGTTATTTCATGTCTACACACCTGAACTCGCCAGTTGCTGTGAAGGACTCATGTTCCGTGATGGAGAACACAAGGAGAAATCCTTCCCCGCTCCGGAAGTAGTTGTCTCGAATGGCCGCATAGTCCTCCTGTCCAGCTGTGTCCAGGATATCGATCTGGACCTCTTCTCCATCGAGAACTACTTTCTTTCTGTAACTGTCGGCTTTGGTGGGTTCATAGTCTTCTACAAACTGGGGAAACAAATTACCAGTAATTATCCAAATTTTAGAGGGAAAAAAAAGCTATCCAAAAATAAAATTGGGTGTTCGCTTTGGCAGCACATATACCAAAAATAAAATTGGTTATATAGGTCCTTTGCATATAACCAACTAAGTATTCCTTGAGTGCCTACAATTACTACACTATGCACAAGTCACTATAAATTAAAACACACGTAAGTACTTTGAAGATGATGCACAGTGTATTAACTATTATTCTCTTATTATTTTGTTATGAAACTTTCACTTCTTCATAAAAACAAAAAACAGCAATTTACATAATACTTCACTTCTTTATAGCTTTGTTCTACTCTTTTAATTTGTCTTTGAGCAATAGGAGCAGATAACCCCATTTTACAAATGAGAAAGATAAGCACAGAGCAGAATGCCTGGCAATAGTATTGTCGGTACAGTATAAAGTTATAATATTGACAATGAAAAAGGGTGAAACAGGAACTCTTATTCACAATTAACAGAAACACAAAAAATCACCTGAAAAGTAATTTGGCACAAGGTACTTAAATATCTGTAACACAATAAAACTCTCAATGGAATAGATATGCTCAGAGGACGTTATATACAAGCATGAAAATGCCACAATGAAGTCTCATGTTTTGTAAAATTAGTATGTATAACAAATACATACATGAAAAAATCCAAATGGGTCAAAGATTGAAAACTGAAAATAAAGCCAGTCAAGTACTAGAAGAGGGCTGGTGAGATGGCTCAGTGGTCTAAAGCACCTACTTAGAACAAGCTAAGCTGAGCAAAACACAGGGACCGCGGTTCAATCCCCCAGCACCACATGCCAGCCAGCCCCGCCCCCTGGTGGGCTGAGCTGGCCACACACACATAAATAAATAAAATTAAAAAAAAAAAAAGTACTAGAAGAAAACATGGGTGAAACCCTTTTGTTACCTTGAAGTAGAGAAGGCCTTTTTAACTATGACTCAAAGTCCAGAAGCCATGTAAGAAAAAAATTAACAAATTAGACTACATTAAAAAAAGAAAAACTGCTCCAATGTTGGCATGGCATAACACACTGCAAACAACAGCAAATAACAGAGAAAAACATGTGAACCTGTATTACAAAAGGTTGTCTCTAATACAGAGTCCTAGAAACCGGGTGGGTCGTATCAACTATCGCGTAGGGAAAATGCGCGACAGACATAAGCAATCCACATAAAAATAAGTACACGTGATGCTAACCACATGCAAAGATATTCGACCTCACCAGTAAAAACTAAAACCACACTGAGATACCATGTTTCACCTGCCAGGGGGTTGACGACACACTCTGGGGGAAGATGCCTGAGCAGGGAGAACAGGGCAAGCCGTAGGGCAAGGAACTGGCAGCTGATAAAGTAAAAGAAGCACCTCATCCTCTGTTCCTGCTGCCAGGAATCTGACCTGCAGAAGCTCAGCTACAGAAACAAAGTAATTCACCACAGCACCGAGTGTAATCACAGATTAGAAACCTCAACACTGAGCAACAGGGACCCACACAATGGAGTACTACGAGTACTACGCACTTAAAAAAATGAGAAAGGTAACTATGTACAAATATATAGAGAGGGCTGGTGAGATGGCTCAGTGGTCTAAAGCACCTACTTAGAATAAGCTTAGCTAAAGGAAAGGGACCGCGGTTCAATCCCCCAGCACCACATGCCAGCCAGCCGCGCCCCCTGGTGGGCTGAGCTGGCCACACACACACACACACACACACACACACACACACACACATAAATAAATAAAATTAAAAAAAAAAAAAAGTAACAAATATATAGAGAGCTTCAAAATATAATAGTTTGCCTTTTTGCATGAGGAAAATAGGAAGATAACAAGTTTTATATGTATATCCATTTGCCAAAAAGGTCCTCTCAAAGGACAAAAGCAAATGTAAAAGATGTTAAATAGAAAAACTGAAGCAGGGCCAGCAAGATAGCTCAGCAAACTAAGCACCTGCTTAGGCAAGCCCAGGAACTGGGGTCCAATCCTGGCACCACATGCTGTGCTGGGCCCACCCTCAGGGGCGCTGAGCGAGCTACCAAGTCCAGGTATGGTGGCGCACGCCTGTAATCCCAGGGTTGAGGAAGCTGGGACAGGAGGATCACTATGAGTCCAAGATGTATAGTGAGACCTTGTACGAAATACATTTTAAAAAATCAATAAAAAAATACATTAAAAAAAAGAAAACTTGAAGCAAATAAGCCTACCAGAATACTCACTGGAATGCAGACACACAGGAAAAGAATTTAATTCATAAAATCTTAGAACAGTATTTTGATAAAAGGCACTCCAAAAAATTAAAGACAAAAAAAGGCAAGGAAATAGTGATGTTCCCATCAATAGTTGTATTATTCAGTTATAACGATATCATTTCAAAGCCATTTTCCTTATATTGTGTTATGTACCAAAATCAGTAATCTTGGGCTGGTAAGATGGCTCAGTGGTCTAAAGCACCTACTTAGAACAGGCTTAGCAAAGCACAGGGACCGCTGTTTAATCCCCCAGCACCACATGCCAGCCAGCCCCGCCCCCTGGTGGGCTGAGCTGGCCACACCCACCCACCCACACCCACACATAAATTAATTAATTAATTAATTTTTAAAAAATCAGTAATCTTAATGATACCCAAGTCAAGAAATTCAGAAGAAAACTAAGTTAATGACAACAATGTACTTTTACAAACAAAATGGTGCTGGTACAACTGTACCATCTACTTTTTTTTTTTTTTTAATTTTTTTTTTTAACATTTATTTAGTGTGTGTGTGTGGCCAGCTCAGCCCACCAGGGGGCGGGGCTGGCTGGCATGTGGTGCTGGGGGATCGAACCGCGGTCCCTGTGCTTTGCCAAGCTTGTTCCAAGTAGGTGCTTTAGACCACTGAACCATCTCTCCAGCCCCCATCTACTTCTTACTACATATAAAAATTAACTTTATAAGGACTTTAAAATATAATAGTTTACCTTTTTGCATGAGGAAAACAGGGAGATAAAAAATAAGTTCTATATATGCATATCCATTTGCCAAAAAGGCCCTCTCAAAGGACAAAAGCTAATGCAAAAGATGTTAAAATAGAAAAACTGAAGCAGGGCTGTCAGGATAGCTCAGCAGACTAAGCACCTGCTTAGGCAAGCACAGGGACTTCTTACATGTAAGAACTAAAACAATAAGTTTTAAGAAGAAAACCCAGGCATAAATGTTAATGACTTTGGGTTTGGATTCTTAGACATGATACCAAAAACACAAGCAACACAGAACAGACAAACTGGCTTCACTAAAATTAAAGCTTTTCCTGTTTTAAAGGACTATGAAGAAAGTGAGAAGACAACACAGAGAATGAAATATGACATTTGTAACTCAAGTCTAATAAAAGACACTTCCAGAATCTATAGAGTTCTAAAAACTCAACAATAAGTAGAGCCCATTTAAAAAGATCCAAAGAGAACAGGGGTGTACTCAGTGGTAGAGCACAGGCTTTGCATGTACGAGGCCCTGAGTTCAATTCCCAGGACAAAAACAAAAGCACAGGATCTAGGGAGACGTGTCTCCAAAGAAGACACACGCATAGCACATAGAAAGATGCCCAACATCATCCATGGTGCAGCTCTTTGGAAAACGGTCCGCCAGGTCCGCACACACAGACACCTAGATATATACCCAGGGGATTTAAGACAAATGCACACACAAAAACTTGCACGTAAATGTTCACAGCAACTTACTCAAAATAGCCCCAAAGCAGTAATAACCCAAATTCCTACCAATCAATGAATAAGTAAACAAAAACATACTACATCTAGACAACGGAGTATTATTGAGTCATAAAAAGAAATGTGGGTCTGACTCATGTTCAACATGGGCAGCAAGTGAAAGAAGCCACACACAAAAGGCTACATACTGTATGAGCCTATTCATATGAAATAGAACAGACAAATGCGTGGAGACAGAAAGTAGGGTCAGTAGTAGCTACCCAGCCTGGAGGGATGGGGACAACAGGAAGTGACTGCTACTAGGTACTGGGCTTCTCGGAGAGCGACGGAAATATTCTCGAATTAGATGATGCGATAGTTGCACAATTTTGTAAATATACAAGAAACCACTACACTGTGTACTTTTTTAAAAAAATGTATTTTAGTAAAGGGTCTACATGGTCTCACTACATAGCCTGGACTCGTGGTGAATCTCCTGTTTTTCAGCCTCCCAAGCCCTGGGATTACAGGCATGAGCCACCACACCCACTATCATGGAGCCCCAGGGGCGGGGCAGGCACAGCATGTCAGGAATCAAGCCCTGGCCCCTGTGTCTGCCTAAGCAGGCGCTTTAATCCACTGAGCTATCTGGCCGGCCCACACTGTGTACCTTTTTTTTTTTTTTTTTTTTTTTTATCTTTCTGAGACAGGGTCTCACTATGCAATTCAGGCTGGCCCTGAGCTCACTTTGTAGCCCAGCCTGGTCTCAAACTCACAATAATCCTCCTGCCTCAGCCTCCCAAATGCTAAGAATGCAAGCAGGCACGACCCATCTCACTTGGTTTACATTGTACACTTCAATAGGGTAAAATTTATGGAATTATATCTCAATTGTTTGGTTTTTTAAAGAATTAAATACTATTACCTGCTACAGAATGGATGAACTTTCAAAACATTATGGTAGAGGAAAGAAGCCGGATGGGAAGGGACCACACAGTGAGGGCCCACTTAAATGCAATGGCAGGATAGGCAGGGTGGAGAAAGCGCGGCTGCCTGAGGCCAAGAGTAGGAAGGGAGAAAACAGAAGGGATGGACTGCTGATACGGGCGGGTGGGTCTGTTTTTTGAGTGATGAAAAGTAGACGGTGAATGCTGCACATCTGTGTGGATATACAAACATGAGCTGTAAAATTTTTCTGAGCTGTACAATTTTTAAAAGTGAATTTCAGGCTATGTGGATTTTGTTAAAGTTCCAACATAAACATTTTTAATTTATGAATTAGA